CTTCTCTTGCCACCTGTATTGTAGCTGCTCTGTTGTCTCGACTTGAAACCACCTTTCCAACCTTTGCTGCTAATGTCATCGCCACCGTCCAACTGGATGAGCATAGCTCCAACGATCTTGTCCCAATCATACTCATTTCCAGCCTGTCCCAAAATGGCACGATGCTGCGATGAACTCTCACCAGCATTCCTCAACAGAAAGAAAGCTTGCAAGTCTGTCGACAACTTGGTACGACCTTGAGTCAAACCCGTCAGCTTCTCGTACTCATTCTCCCTGTGACTAATGTAGTCTTGGATGCTTTCTGATGGTCTTCTCCTGCCTTTCTCGAAGAAGTAGTCCTCGAAGGTCTGGGTCTTGAGCAATGGTGCAACCTTCTCACAAGCACTTCGAACAACCTTCACAACCAGTTGAACTGCAGCTCGTGGTCCTGCTGTCGTGCTGGGCTTGGCCTCGCTGAGCTGAAGGAGCTTCTGGGCAGCAATCTCCGGTTTCCTGTGGCATAGGGTCCAAGCACGGCCATGCAATGCATTCTTGAGCTTCGCTGAATAGCTGATCTTCTCATCTTTCATCACAGTTTGGAAACCCAGCCAAACCCTCTCTTCATATTCCTCAGCCAACTTTGGATTGCCGTCATAGTCCACGACGTTGGACTTCGGGTCGACATACAATGACTGACCATTCGACTGCATTCTTTCTTTCTTTCTTTCGTTTGCCAAAGGCGTGTGGGTCACATTATACTAAGTACTGTACACAAAAAAGTATTTACACGCCCGTAGGCACCCCTACGCCAACCGCGGCGCGCTCACATTACCACTGCGTCTCGGTCAAAGCTGTAGCATTTCATTAATATCAATTTGGTATCGAAGTCCAGGTAAAAACCTGGTGAGTCAAATCTTTCATTTGTGTGATCCTGCTTTTTTACAATTGGTAGTTTCTTGCCGCATTCTGTATATGTGCCAGTTGTTCAGGCGATTGGTTGAATCCTTCACCATTTGGACGTATTTTTTCCCAGACAATGTTCAAGGTGGAGTCTATCCATCGCCTTCGGGGTCGACCTGGTCGACGGTACAGCACTTCAAAAGGAGCCGCCGTATCTTGCCGAAAACATACATTTCTCAAAGGATTTGTACGCGGTTGTCTTAGAATGTGTCCAACTAAAGCGATCCTTCTTTGACCCAGCAGCTCGCTGATCTTTTGAATTGTACAAGTCGGGTTTTGGCGAGTTTGAATTGCAATGTTGGCTCTTCTAAAAACTTCTTGGTTCGTGTTGGCTCTATTGACAAAAGTTGTTTGCATACCCAAAATTTTTCTCAAACCTTTCAAATGAAACGCTTCCAGGCGCGACATCTGCGCACTTGGGATTTCCAAAGTCTCTAGCCCATAAAGTAGTTTACTTTTGATAACAGAATTGAAAACTTGCAGCCTATTTCTAACGGAGCATTGAGCATGTCTCCAAAAGATATCCATACTTTTCCAAGTAGCCATTGTGGATGAAATTCTGCTGGAAATCTCACGAGCAACTGAGACTTGTGAGGTCAAAGTTCCACCAAGGTAGGTAACTTCATCTACGTGCGGCACTAAGGATCCATCTCTGAAGCGAACATGGCTGTTGCCGTTCAGTGATAACACAGCACATTTATCCTGGTTGAGTTTTAAGCCATAATAAGAAGACTCAAGTTCAATTGCGTGCAAAAGTCTGTTCATACCTGATGTGTCTTTGGAGACTAGCAGCGTGTCGTCCGCGTACAAGATTTCCGAAAAGTTTATACGGTCTAAACGGCTCAGAATGATATCTCGGTCGATTGCATAATGAATATCGGAGAACAGAACTGACATCACTAAAATAAAAAGATAAGGGGATAACGGGCATCCTTGTCTAATTCCTGCTTGCTGGTCTTTGATGTTGGACGTGTGCTGATCATACTTTACGCAGAAAGTAGGCTTTTTGTAAAGTGCAGCAATCACATTTCGCAGTTTTTCGGGGATGTTCAGTCTCATCAGTGCTTCAAACATACGTGAATGGCATAGCTTATCAAACGCCTTCTCCCAATCCAGGAAAAGCATGACAACTCTATCGCCCGTCTGCTCTCCAATGTCTTGTAATCGACGCGCAACAAACAAGGCCTGAGTAGTACTTCTATCACGTCGAAAGCCAAACTGTGATTCGGAAATGAAAGGGTCAATATGGTCTGCTAGCCTCTTTCGAACAATAGCAGCGAAAAGCTTGTACACGGTGTTCAACAAACTAATAGGCCTGTAATTTGATATCTGTTCGGTACTACCTTTTTTGAATATGGTCACTACTTGCGCCATTAAATGCTCCTCGTGAATCTGCTCGGTTCTCCACCAATGGTTTAGCAACCCAAGCAACAGGTCTCGGTTGGTCTGATCCAGAAGCTTAAACAGTTCAGCTCCCGTTTCGTCTGGGCCAGGCGCTTTGTGCGCTTTGGCCTTTTTGATTACATTATTTAATTCATGCAGTTGAATATTGTCTGTAGGGCATGGTACTGGATCTGCGATCACGGCACGGCGAAATGGCTGCGGCGGCGGTAGCACTGGCTCTTTCCACTGCACAGACAAATATTCTGCTATTGCTTCCGCTCTCCTGTGCGGTCCTACTCTATTCCCATCCTTATCTTTCAGCTTCGTGAAATTTGGGGTCGATTTCTTTTTCAAATTTTTGATCGCCTTCCATTGGCTGCGTGAGTCAACCGATTCCTTGAGACTTTCAAGAAGGAATTTTCGTTTGTCTTTTCGGGCTTCGCACTTGATTCGACGAGTCAGGTCTTTCACGGTCTGAGAGTTGCACTCCGTGTGAGCCGCTTGTCTCTGTTCAATCAAAGCCCAAGTATGTTGTGTAATATAGCATCTACGCTGCATAGCTGGAACAGGATTAAAAGCACTGCGGGATGCTTGAGCAATTATGGAAATGAAGTTCTTCATAGTTAAACCATTGTGATTAAGAGAATTTTGCGTAACATGCCGATTATATATTTGCAACTGAACGCCGTCTGGCTGTCTAAACTTAAGCACTGGCCGCTTTCTAGCTTCGGGAATTTTGAGTTTCACCTCAATTCGGGCAACTACCAAATAGTGATCGGAATCAAAACAAAACGTGCTCTGGGAAGCAGCGTCTTTGACGCAATTTTTCCAGCGTTGCGGGGCGATGATGAAATCAAGCTGCGCAAATTTTTCGGGAGTCCATGGCGGAGCATGGTCAACCCCTGCCTCTCTAAAGGTGATTTGGCTGCTAGGCGGCTTCTGGAAGAATGAGTTGGCTACCCAAAGGTCATTGTCAATACAAAATTCAACAAACATCGAGCGATTTTCGAACGTTGCATCGTTCATCTGCTGCAGGTAAGTCAGCCCACGGCCAAAGACATGTGGACCAATAAACCTATGTTCATCTGGAAGCCTGGCATGTAGACGTGCATTGAAATCGCCAATAATGAAGGTGGGGTGTGAAGAAGGGAAATTTTCTAAGCAGATGCGGAGCTTATTGTAAAATACTTCTTTCATAGTTGCATCACAGCCACTTTGGGGGGCATATGCGTTGATAATGTGTATATCAGGACCATGAGCATCAAGTGTCAGCGTCATGAGTCTACCGTCAATTTGTTCAAAGTCTCGCAAAGCTGTTATTGCCACGGGGGATAACAAGAAGCCAACACCGCCGTGTTCAATATCTTCCGGAATTTGTCTGCAACCTTGGTTCTGCTCTTTCCCTTTTCCTTTCCCTTTTCCTTCCCGTTTCTGCTGCGCAGTCTGCGCACGTTTATTATCTGCACGTTTCCTCTGCTCATCTGTGATACTTGTCGAGTATAGAAACGTGAAACCATTGACTTTCTCCAAAGAGTTCGTGTTGACGTGGGTTTCTTGTAGTAGGATAATGTGAATATTGAGTTTTTCCATTGCTGAGATAAGATTTCCTTTTTTGGTTAGTGCACTGTCGCCTTTCAAACCACGACAGTTGATTGTCCCCACTTTGAAGGGCGCATTGTAGTTCCACGCGCTCAATGTAGGGTTCTGCGGGTGATTGGGCGCACCCAGTTCAGTCTGATCTGTCTGGCGCTTGTTTTGTAGTTTGTGTTGTATAGATTGATACTTACGGAATCTTGTGAGACGCTCTTCAATTTTGAATTTGATAAGCTTGTTTTTCAGCACTGGTTGGTTGCTAGGGGTTTCCTGAGCCAGTTTTGGTAAGCCCACCGGCCTGGCCGCACCAAAGTGGGCAGACAGCACGTGTTTATTGTAGAACCGGTAATTTTGTCGACTTATTCGCCGTTTTTGCGTTCGATTCTGCTTTCGTCTGACAATGGCTTCTATAGAACGAATTCCTCTTTTATGAGAGCAACGTTTTTCTGTTTGCGCTGTCTTTGTGAGGTCTTTTCGTCTCCGCTGGGTGTGTGTAAATTGAAAGTGAAATCTTGCAAAAATCAAAAGTGAAGCTGCGAGCAACAAAATCTGCACCAAATTTCCACGGCAACCACAGAAGTGCCCAGCTTCACAAAATACTCGAGAATCAAATTCCGGTATGATAGTGAACCAAAACAACTCCAGTCCGCCTCACGACCACAAGCAAAGTAAAGCTCTGTAGGGCAACACAATGCTCAACACCACCACCAGCTCCAGATAAAAGGTCAGCAGCCACGCGAGGGCCTATGGCACAACTATCTGGAGCACTTTGGCTCCGCTACCAGTGCAAAGAGCGCGATCCGGTCACTCGCAAGCTTTTCGCTCGCAAGTTCGATCAGGCTCAAGGCCTTGTAAGTGGCGGCGGTATTCGAGACGCTCAAATCACCCTTGGTGACCCTCTCATGTTCCATGGAACCACACAAGCAAAGGGAAGACATGACACCTCATCATGCCTAGTCATCAATTACAAATATATATATATATATGTAATCAAAATATATTGTATATATGGTAGAACCAAAAGAGTACAGCTCGAATGCCTCGTTGGCTGTTCTCAACACGACTTGTTAGCAAATCCGGCTTGCTGAAGTAGCCCTTTTTCACAAAGGGATTCCTCAAGTCCGTAGTTCCAGCAGCTGCCACAAGCTTGTCGACTGTGCTACCTTTTGGGCAATGCATGCTGTCGTCATGGCAAGCCACACAAACGGATTGCCATTCGATTGTCCCTGCCTCACAAACACAGTCTGTCAAAGATCCTGCACCCAGTAAGAGCGTTGTCCGGGAACCACCACATGAGAGACATGAGGTTTGCGCTGTGTCTGGTTGGTAAAAACCTTCATCACAGGGTGTGCATTGCGTGCTCCCAAACGAGCTTGCTGATGTGCCCTTTGGACACGGCTCACATTGGGTCGAGTAGGTGTTGGCTTGACTGTATCCTGGAGAGCAGGGCTTGCATCGGAAAGTTCTCCCCTGATCGTCAATGAGCTCATCAGATGCAGATCCTGCTTGGCACAGCCCACATCCCACAGCATCTGCTCTGCTCGAGACGAAAGCCCCTGAAGCGTCAACCAACCCAAAGCCCTCATAGCAGCTGGTCTCGACTGGTTTCCACTTCAACCACCTGAAAATCGGGACACAAAGAGCAGCTTCTGTCTCTGTGCACTTTAAAGAGTGGTGGAAACATCAAGAATTGCAGGATGACTCAAGGACAAACATGTGGTTTTCACACTGTTCAAGTCGTTCTTGAGTTGGTCGAACGCGTGCCTGGCTCGATTCTCCCGCATCCATTTGCAGGACACGTTGTAGGTGGACGACTGCTGAAGCTCCAAAAGGAGACTTTGCACTTCGGGAAGCTCAAAGTTCATGTTGGACACAAACCTCACACATGCGACCGATTGGCTGTGAAAATAGGTGGAACGAGGAGATCGTTTGGATCTTTGGGGAACCAAGAACACAGAACCAATGGGGGGTTGACCAATGTAGAACCGTACAAAGCACTTCAGGCATTTGGTCAGCAATTTGCAGTGTCAATTACTGTGAGGAAATTACTATTTGTTGATCCAGTTCCAGATCCAGTCCCAGTTCTAGAGCCAGTTCCAAATCCAGTTCCAGTTGTCATTTCAGTGCCTATGATGATATTGATACTTTTTGTATCTTTTTATTCGTTTTGTATATTTTTGTTGGGCCAGTCTCAGTTCTAGATCCAGATCTAGGTGCCATTCCAATTCCTCGGATAAAGGAACTCATTTGTATCTTACTTTTTTTCGGCCAAGGCGGGTGGAGTTCCAGGAACCCTGATCCAGTTCCAGTGGGGAAGACTAAAGCAATTCGTGATTTGCTACACATATCAACCAAGAGTCCAGGTAGCTCCTGGCTCTTTCTACAATTAATTCAAAATACTTCAAGTGCGAAAAGACCAGAACCTGGGATCAGCTCAAGCACTCCAGTTCCCCATCAAACCCATTTCATGAGCTTTTCATTGGGCCAAATGACTTGGGATGTTTTGATACAAGCGACTGGATGATATATAGAGAAAGGCTAGACATGCTATATAGAAACTTTGCCAAGTAGCTCGCGGACACGACCAGCCTTGGCTTGCAAGTTGTGACTGACCAACTTGGCTACATGGCTTCCTTTTGCTCCGGTCTTTTTGTCCCCATCCAACCACTCAGTTGCGCTGTGACGTGCCAAAATCAAAGGCTCTGGCAACATGCCGATGAAGGTCGAATCTGGAACCCACCAGTAGTGTAAGGCTCGATGATTCTGCACATGTTGGATCCACGTTCCATACCCCTTAGAGAGTCCGATGGCTGTTGGCATTCCGTAAGCGGTGGACCATTGCATTAACGCCTGCAACTTCCAACCATTACCTGATGTGAAGAGAGGGATGCACTGGGAGGAATTTTGCCTGCAAGCGGGGGCATACCACCAGCGATTGTTTGTGCACTTGGCGACAAAAGTGCCATCTGGCTGGCTCACGACCCCGTCGTAGTCCCCGGAGTACTTGGCGTAGTCTCCAATGCGACTTGGGTTACTCATGTCCGTCTCATTGCACAATTCCAGTTCCAACAGGTCCACATCATGGATGGAATCGAAATACTTCCTGAATTGAAACTTGGCACACACAAAAATGATTGCAAGTCCAAAGACTCAGTAAAACCTGGTCTTTAACATCCTTAAATATTGGTTTTGTATGACCAACTCAAGTGAAATGAGGTCTTTGACTTGTAGGGAAATGATTGCAAAAACCATGCAAACATCAAGCAGAACCACATGCCATGTCCACTGTCCCACTGTCGAAACCGCTGTCCTGGGGTTGTGATGCGTAGTGTTGTAGCCTCCATTTGCATGGGAGACAGCACAGGTTCAAGCATGGAGACAGCAAGCTCAACAAAACCTTTAATTGATAAACTTATTGTTCTATTCGTCGCGAAGACCAGTTCCTTCAAAGTGAGCAGTAGGGTTTGTAGGTATGAACATAGGTGACCTGTGGATTTTAGCACTCAAATCAGATCTGGACAAATTGAACACTATGTAGCACATCAACATGTCAACAAAAAACTTGAGAAACAAACAACTCCATGTCCATATAGTGCGTGCAAACATCCAAAAGCGTGTGAAACATGTTTATCACGTATGCAATGTCCACGGAAACCTTAGCCAAGTAGCTTTTGTAGAAGTCGAGCGCAAGACCGGAATCAGTAAAAGCATCATTCAGGATGGCCTGGCTCACGTACATGGATTCCTCGCCGTCATAACCTTGGATGAACGGCACTGGTAAATGCTATTGCAGTGGTTTCAAAGTAAATAGCACAATCCCCAAGGTTTATAGACATGTAGGGAGTCGTGCCATTTACTCTGGCACCTTTGTAATTCAAACAAATTTCCTAAAAGCAACACACTCCCATAGTACATTCATGTATATTCCCTATGGACTGCCTATATTGCAAGAGATTCACATGAAATTCACCAAGAAGAACACATATCATATACCTTCCCCAAAATATGATGGAAGTGGAAAACCAGTCCCTTGGATCCACTTCCATGATTGTTTCAGGAGAGAATATCAGCACAAATCAGGTAGCCCATGCCGCCCAAGTCTTGTGATGCGATTCTGGGGAATTCCTTGTTGAACTGATCCATCGCCGACGCATAGCTGCCAACCCAAGAGTCCACACTGATATGAAGCGTCGTCTCGTTAATTCCACATTGTTTGTCGCCAACGACTTTGTTGTCAAAGTCGAGGCATCCTGGCAAAGCGTAGAAGCAAGAAGCCCCATTTGCGCCCATGCGTGGATCAACCTTCGCGTGGTAGCCCATGACTTCTTGAAGCAGCATTTCCGTCAACTTGTTGAGAAGCCAAGATGAGGCCCAATTGCTCTCAAAAACTCCAATTGGAATGTCATTGCCCGCATCATCCTGACACACAATCCACTACATGCCATGAATTTGCGGTCTGACACCCCCAAAGGACCCGTATGACTAAGAGTGTCATTTTGTCGGAGAAGGACTCTTGGACATCTTGGGGATGTTGTGCAAACGTTGCTGATCATTAGTCACATGATGTGTTCCAGCTGCGCAAGAGACAACCCGGACCTCACACGTAGACACCACCTGGACCCTTTGTTCTGGGAGCCATGTTCGGCCATGTTGACATCTGCTGGTGTAGGGAAAATAAAACATGCTAAGTGCATTTGCTACTCCCTAGGGCTCCAACCGCATTCTCAGGAGGTGGTTGAAACCCGTCCGGGACGCGTGTTCTCCTTCGCCGGTGATTTACCTGACGCAACCCTGGCAGGCCCTGTTCATGGACCAAAATTTGCGGTGCAGAAGTTCATGATTAGTTCACAGTTTCCAAGCTTCAGTTCATACCATTTCCATTCTACTCGTAGCGTCCAGGTATCCGGAAATGAAAAGAAACACCGGGGAATCTGCTAGGGACTGCAGGAAGGACCTGTGTCAAGACAAGCATGTGTTGGCAAAAGCCCCCGATATCTTTGTTGTTGGGCGCATGCCGTCGGCCCTCGCCGCTACATCTTTGTTGTCGACGTGGCACAACTGCACTTGCAGCTGCAACAAGTTATAGTTGTTTGTTGCTAATCCTCCTTGTCAGCTTCTGACTGCAGCCTGTTGCGCAGTAGAAGCATCCCTTCAGTTTCTGCAGCCATTTCCACACGACGTAGCACAGGGTTTGTATTTGGGAGACACCTCAGCCAATGGCATTAAGTATATACTGTAATCACGGGGGTCTCCCATTTTTCAATACACACGTATAGCCTAGCCAGAAGTCTGCCGCCCTGCAGACGCTTCACGTGCTTCAGTTTTACAAAAGGCCTCCAGCGATCTCAAGCCTTTGATTGTTGAACAATTCTTCCTTTGTGGGGGCTTCACTGGGCCCATGTAAAGCTACTGTTGATGGACAAAATCCTGCACCACTTTACCCTGGAAGGGTCGCATAGCAACCCCCGGGCCCCCTCATTCAATGTTGGCGCGACCCCTCTGAGGGTGCAGGATTTTGGACCTTCAACTTGTATCAACCTGTTTTTGTTTTCTCACTGTGGTGGCCCCAATGTTAACGAGGGAGAACGAGGGCAGCAAGAGAAGTGTGCGCAAAGTGGTGCAGGATTTTTTCCATCAACAGTAGGTCTCGCAGGGCCACTCCGAGATCTGCTGTGGGGCTTCTACGGGGCAAACAAGACGAAGGCATCAATGCAGCAAAGTCTTAGACCGTAAGATCATCAACGGCCACAGGAAAGGACCACACGTTAGGGAGCCTAATTATTGGCTTCTGAATGCTGCCACAGGGTGCCATCTTGTTGGGAGGATTGATCTGGGATCACAGGGGACCCAGGAGCAGCAGCATGTAGGCGCAGGAGTGGCACCATTCCGACAAGAGCTTCATCGCCAAACCACAGAGCAGATATTCGCTCATTCGCAGTGGTGTCGAAGACGACACTGCAGAGTTTGTCCAGTTCGGAGTTGGAATTTGCGAAGTGATCATGTCACAAAATAATGGCCCATACGTTAAAGGGGGCCCACGTCAAGACCCCCAGGAATCATTTTAAATGATTCTGGGGGGGTGTGAGGGGGGTTGGTGATATTGATTCTGACCCTGACATCTGAACTCTGTACCCAAAGTATTATTGGTATTATTATGTTTAGGTATTATTATGTATTATTGTCGGTGTCCAATGTTTTCCCACTGGGTGTCTAAGAATGTGGTGAGTTATGTGATTTCATATGGAAATGACTGGTGTGGAAATGATTCCAGGGGGGGTTGACATCAGAATTGGGGTGGTTTCGTTTCTTGCCAAAGCAAGAACCCACATGGCAAAATTCAATAGGTTTGGGAGGCTCAGCCATCAGTTGGTACAAGCGCACACGTTGAACAAAAAGGAAATCTTGAAGCAAGATGCGTCTCCCACCTTTTGCATTGGTGCAGAATCTGTTTTAATATTGTTTTCTGTATTTGATGGACTCTCCAATAGAAATCTGATGAAATCTGTACGCTTGAGACTCAGGCGAATGCAATTGTGACATTGCAACATGTATCAACATGTGAAAATGATTCTGGCACATCATTCACATCAAGTTAAAAATTAATGAACATGATTCTCGGGGGGGTTGACGCCCCCCATGAACCCCGCTGTCAAAAAATAATTCCAGAGAAATGATTCTACTTAACTAATTCTGCCCATTGACGTACCCCCTGGAATCAGTATTTAGCGTAACCCCCATACAAAATACAGTGGGTCGGTACACAGGAAAGCATGTGCTCATAGACGACGCAGCAAACGACCCGAAAACCCTGCCTGGATGTACTTGCGTTGGCTTTCCGGCACGCCATCGTCCAGGCAAAGCTCGGATCCGAATCCTTCAAAGGCACCAAGGAGCAAGACTGCCAAACGCAGCATCGCTAGCATCACGCACCTGAAGGTTATAGATTCTTCGCTGGATCAGGGCAACGAGCTGAGAGCCAAGAAATATCTCGATATCGAAATGGTGAATTCTTGCATTCTTGTGCCAGCTTGGATACGAGTGGGCCTTGAACTAGGGAGACCCTGCCCCTGCAACATTCTGGGGAAATGAACGATATTGGTTGGGGCGTTTCCCTGGTCTGATACTTGTGGATCTTCATGTTTCACACTCCCGAAATGAAGGTGGTTACAGGGAACTGACTTCCAAGTTCGCCCCACAACACCACCGGCCACGCGGCCGCCCCCACACTCGGCCACTTTTGCGATGCCTGGAGCTTGGGGCCGTGGCCTCCGGCAGGGCTATGTGGATCACGTCGCAACGTCGCAAGGTTCTACGTGCAAGACGTGTCAACGAGCTTCTGATTCTGTTCATGACCGAAGCAACTTCTGTTCGTGGCAGCCAGTGACCGAACTTACAGACCTAAACTCGTGACAGAAACCAACTGGGAAATTTCAAGTTCGCTCACAAACTTGAAGAACCTAAGTGGTTGTTCTTGAAAGGGCTCACATGGGCCAAGGAGGTGTTTGGATGTGTTTGGGACGTACCTTCTGAGTTCGATGTTTTTGGCCAAGGATGCATGAACCTGGGAGAATCCTGGACATTTGGCACACGTCACTTTTAACCCGACCCATTTGGGCGACTTTGGAACTGAGAACCCCGTTGGGAAGTTCACGCAAGCTGTCCATCTAAATTGGTGCATATACCTCGATCTTCGAACTATATGCAACAGTTCTGCCCTTTGGCCAGTTTTATAGATGAAAGGCACACATTTCGCACACCTATGCACACGATACATGTGGGTGATTCATGTCAGGAGTCGGGCAGCATATCTTCCATATTCATGGAGCGGCCATGGCCAGTGGTGAAAAGCCCTTAAGCATCCTTTTATGATTTTGGGCTGTGTGGACGACGTGCTCTCTCGCTTCTGCCAGCTCCGAGGGGAGTGCCAGGGTCCCAGAGTGTTCTCCGTCTCTCCCTCAAGACGGCTGTAGGATTCGAGACCACCGTTATGGCCGGGTCATCCTGGTCCCCACCATTCTTTTGCTAAGGGTTCACTACAAAACCAGGTCCCCACCATTTTAACACCTGACTGTCAATAGGGCTGGACCATTTGGGCCCTGGATCTCCCATCCAGTCTGGCCTGGTCGCCATGCGCGCCGGGTCCGGGCGCCAATTCGGGCGGCGCGGGCTGAGACGTCCACGGCGGTCGATGGCGAGACGGGGAGTGCGAGCGACCTGGGGATGACCGGCTTGGGGTGCCCCGAGCTCACATCCACAGCCCCTGGATGGGACGAGCCACACCACCCCGAGCTCTCTGACTCCTGTTGAGAGGTCTTTTGTGACCTGAAAAGAAAGAAAAACTACCAGCAGTTCCATGGAGATGTGCCATCCATGGAGGACAGGGGTGCCCATCCACTCACTTATATAGGGTCTAAAAACCCACCCCCAACTCCTGGTACTGGGTTACCTATGGGATAGTCGAACAGTCGGGTTCTTCAACCTCTGTTGGATGCTTGAGCTGAATTCAGATCTGAGCCTCATGCTGACCTCATGCTTGACAAGCTGGATCTTTTCTGGTCTGAGTACATTTGGTGGGTACGGAACCTAAAAAAAAGATCCGGAAGTGGTGCCGGTACACGGCTTGCACTGAACACCCGAAAACCACGCGAGCACGGTGCGCCGTGCCACCGAACTCGTCCAGACAGAAAAAACGACCGCCAACAAACAGCACTGCCCGGTGGAGTGGAGAAACTCCCGGTACCACACTGAGCAATTCCACGCCACCCAACGCTACTAGGTTGGAGGCCATCGCTACTAGGGTAGAGCCGTGGGAGGTCATATATACCATCGAAACTGCGGATCTTGAAACAGGACGCACAAAACGAGAAGTGTACAACTAGGTACACAAGACCACAGGCCGAAACGCCTGCGTGTTTGGCTCAAGAAAACAAAGACCGCTTTCTGTGAAGCATGGGTTATGAGCCCAAGCGGTCCGCGGTGCCATGACATCCATGTTGAGCCGGCGACGATCTGCATCCAAGGAGAGGCAGCAAACAGCCGATGAAAGGTTGGATGAGCTGCTGGCCAACCAAACGCCAGCCAGGCGAACTCAGAGCGCGGAACCTAGTGCCCGGAGACCGGCCTTGGTGAAGAGCACACGCCAGGCACCAGCCGCAGGGACACCAGGAGGGGCAAGGACGGATCCCCGGACCACAGGTGCTGGAACGGACCAACTGCAGTTGGAACCACCCCCTGGTACTATGTTGGCCGGACTACTTCCACCTCTACCTGGAGGAGGTCTTCTTGGTGGCGGGACTATGGCGGCTGCGGAAGTGATGCAGGGTCAGCTTAGGGATCAACTGCCCGGTGGGTGGTCGATTCTACAGGGCCCGTATCCACAGGGTTATCCGGTGGCCTTCCATCCTGGGGGGACTACGGATGCATCAGGACAGTTGCCCATCCTTCCGGGACGTCGTGAACGTGAGGGAGGAAAGATGGCGGAAGAGGCTTCAACGTCAAGAGTGGAGCTATCTCATGGTGATCGAGAACGCCAACGTGGGGGACCTCAGCCTGATCAAGCTCTTCGTCCTTGCCGTGTTCCGGACCCCGTTCCTGAACAATATGAAGGTGAACTTGGAGGACAACATGGACGTGACGTGGTGACCGTAGGTGCTATGTCGAGGCAACAGTCGCCTATCAACCCTTGGTCAGCGGAAAAGATCAAGGAAACCATGAATCTCCCGCAAAGCCAAAGCCAAGAGGCGGGAGAAACCGTTGAACTTCTTCGCCAACGAGTTCTTCGTGATGCCGAGCAGCGTTTTGCTGATGGTGTTCGACAGCTGCTGGGAGGAGGCAATCCGCCTTCCGATGCTTCGTTCAAGACGGCTGCGGAGAATGGAGGCGCAACACAAGGGGATGGGAAGCAACAGGTGCCGGAAACCGGGGGACCACGGCAGCCTTCGGGGACTGGAACACAGGTGGCTTCATCCTCAACTATGACGACAAGTGGTGGTGTTCCTGTTCCTGGAGGCAATCTTCCTGGACCTGGACCCGTTCAAGGAACCGGACCTGGAGTATGTTTCCCTTGGCCATATCCCCCTGGAATTCAGCTTGGACCAGGTGGATGGGGTGCTATCGGGCTACCGCCCAATGGTGGTGGAGGTGGCGGAAACTATGGACCTGGCCTGGTTGGTGGTGCTCCTATGGGTGGGGGCAGTGAGGAATCGGTCAATGAGACCTTTCGCAGTGTGGATCTACCTCCACTTCCTTCGGACGCCAATGCACTGTCCTTCGGTGATTGGTTAGCCACGATCCAGCCTTTGATCGCGGACGTGAGTGTGTCGGCGGAGGAATGGTGGGCTGTGACCTTGAAGGGTGTTGATGAGCTGTATACCCAATGGTTGGCTTCGGATCCTCTTCAACGTCTTCGGTTGGACACTGGCACTTCATCGGCGGCTACAAGGTGGCCTAGGACTGAAAGGAGGATGACCAGTTTGTTGTTGCAGGCGGTCCCCGACAACATCAAGGCGGAGGCTGTGGCTGCGAGGAAGCTGAGCGTGACCCATTTGTTGTTCACGCTGTTCGTCAAGTTTCAACCTGGCGGACAAGGTGAGAGGGTCACTCTCATCCGGTTTTTGACGGAGCTCAAAACTACGGGCTCTATGGTTGAACTGGCGCAGAACCTGCGTCAATGGCGGAGATGGTGGAATCGGGCTCAAGAGCTGGCGGTGATGTTGCCAGACCCTGTCATCTTGGCAGGTGTTTTGACTCGGGCTTCGGACGCCATTGCCAAGTCTGGTGCGCAAGCTGCATACCGGTTGTCGGTGTGCAGGCAACAGTTGCAAATTGATACAAGACCCAACTTGGACTCCATCAAAACCTTCGCGGAGCTGCTGCAGGCTGAGACCGAAGAGCAGGCGTTGGGCGCTGGAGGAATTGGGGGAGCGGGAAAAACGACCGTTCCATTTGTGAAGGCAGCAGCGTTGGGGGCTTCATCAACGACGGCGACTTCGGCGACGGGAATTGCGCAGGAGTCCAAGGCCGCTGGGGTGGAGTTCAAGGGCGACTGTCGCTTTTGGTTGTCGGACAAGGGCTGTCGAAGAGGGGATCGATGCAAGTTCAAGCATGGCACCCTCAGCCCCAAGGAAAATCGGTGCTTCTTCTGTTCCGGCCTCAACCACACTCGGCGTGATTGTCCGTATGTGAAGAAGGAGTTCGGGAAGGAGGAGAATGTGAAGGTGGCTAAGGTGCGGGGGGAGGATTCACAGCCTTCGTCGCCGGAAGGAGAGCCACTTAAGGTGAAGGTTGAAGAGGCCACTGGAGCTTCGGGGAAAAAGACTGAGGCGGAAGCCGGTTCCGGAGTTGCAGGGGGTCCCATGCCGAACAAGTCGGACTCCATCGACACTTTGATGGGGGAGGCATCGGCTTTGTTGAAGTCATTGCGGAGTGCCAAGGTCAAGGCCATCAAGCTCAAGTTCATGGACGTGGGTGGCAACTTGGACGCGGGCGCCGCATTGGGGCTTTTGGATGGTGGTGCAACGCACCCCCTTCGTCAAGCTCTACCTGGTGAACTGGAAAAGGCTGAGAGGGTTCATGTGGAGTTGGCACATGGCTCAATCATGCTGCATCAAGACCCGGTGACGGGTACGTTGTTGTCGGCCGACGCGGTGGAGCCCATCGTGCCGGTTCGAGGGTTGATTGAGCTGGGCTACAAGATGGTGTGGTCCAGGAGTGGTTGTGCTGTGGAGCACCCCCGCAAGGGGAAGATCGTTTCTCGCCTTCGTGAAGGTTGTCCCGTGGTGCTGGAGGAGGACGCTCTGCTGCTCATCCGGGAGATCGAGGAGGTGGAGAGGAAAAAATATGATGATGTCTACCGGGAGGAGAACTTGGAAGAGGAGCTGCTGACGTGGTGGAGCCAACGCTTCCCCGAGGTTCCTGCCAGGATCTTCCGGTACATGACGGAGGAGCATGATTTTGGTGGCGGTGCTCTTCCATGGAA